TTTTTAGTCTTACTTGAAAAAAGTGGTTTTTTAGATTAATTTTTTAATCTACTATAATTATTTTATTCTTTTTAAAAAATATTCTTATAATTATTCTTTTCACAAAAGATTGCATTGTCATCAGTTTCTAAGCTATCCTGAAAGTTTCAGCTTGCTAGCTAGTCGGAAAGTGAGTGAAATTTGAGTTGCAAAATTTGATCCAGACAAACAAACAGACAAGAAAGTGAGGTCACAAAAACATGGTAATAAAATAGGAAACAAGAAGATTTTTAGGGTGCGTCGCAAGCAGCTGGCTTGTAAATTTTAGCGCATTTTTTAGGGTGGAATGACCCTGGTTTCAAAACTGCAGAGAAAGGAGGAGAATTAGTCTCTTCCTGTGGAAAAAAGGAAACTGCTAGCACCAACTTTGGTGATTGTTTTGTCCCAGTTCTGGGGGGGTTTTCTTTCTGTTCATGGCGACTTTCTTGTATGGCCAATCCCCCTTGTCCTATTTCAAGCACCCTAGTTCTGGGGATTTTCTTATCTTTTCCCAATTGTTTCTGCACATTCAAGATGCGCGGATTAAATTGCGCGTCCGCGTGTTTCTTTTGGGTCTAGTTTTCAAAGGGGCCATCAGAAAAATTCCTCACAGTTCTCATATTTTATATCAGACACAGGCTCAACAGTAATTTTAATTTTTAAAAATTGTGAAATAAATTTATCATGAATGTGTAATTTGTTCAGTATTCCATTAACCGCTTGGGATTCATTATTTTACTTTTGCTCCTCGTATATACAATGGTGCACCCAATAATGGATATCTCTCGATATTTTTTTCGCACAATCTCTCGGGATTCCTGTGATGATTTATTCCTACAATGCAGCTTTTTATGAATAATCAACAGCAAGAAAAACCAAAGAAATTTATGAAGTTGCTTTGAAAGAGATGGCTGCCAGAATGATTTTTATCAAATGAATGAAAGCTATTTTCAATTGTTTAGTCTTATTTTCCTGGTTTCTAAAATATTTTCGAAGTTATTTCCTATCAAGTACTTTATTTCATTTCAGGCCAAGTGTTTTCAGAGCATTTGATAGAAAATCAGAACAAATCCCTGAGCATTCTCTGTATGGTATAAATTTCTTTCATCACTTCGTGGACGTTGAACCCCTCTGGAATGAATTAAATTCTACATTTAACATGGAATCACATTATAAGAACTTCAAGAATCTTCCATCCAGTTGAAGAAATTCTCGAATTGGTCTAATGAAATTATTCTAACCTATAAGTTCAGTTTCATCGCGCGTTACATGTTATGCACGAAAATCACTGCGATTTCAACACGATTCTCGCTAATAGCGCGAAAAAATGGCGGGTGAAAAAAATAAAAGATGAGATGATTTCATCAGAATTTTTCTCCCCATTTTTTTCTCTCACAATAGAGCTCAGCCATCATATTGTTCCGAGTGTCTTTATCTTGATCTCGGGCACATCAGGGCTGCGATCTCCAGTCTTCATGGAAAACCTGATGTCCGCGGGGGTTGTTCGCAAAAATGCACCATTCCCCCCCTTGCGAACCAATTTTCGTTCCCAGTGTGGAGGAACTTACTGTTACTCATTCTGTGCTGTACATTGAAGCCAAACGGACCTTACAGTTGTAACTTTTCCAAGTGGTCGATGGTTCGGTCTAGTGTCCGATAATTGAAGTGGTGACTTTGTTAATGGACTCCCTTATTCTGACTCTCCTGAGGAACTTTACATTAATTTAAAAAATATATTCATAAACGCTGAACATATATTTACAAGATCATCGCTCAAACGAGGAAAACAACGCTTCTTGTAACGATTGAGTGACCAATAAAAATGCTGTTTCAACTTTCAAATTGATGCTGGGAGCATGATTTCCGAGGGGAACTTGAATATTTTCCAAATCAAAGAAGGATTTTTTCAAAGCTGTATATGTTAACCGAAACAGGATCCACTGTCCAAAGAAACATGTGGTTCGTGGAATACTGTAAATCGATACCCCTTGCTTCATAATCCGCTTATTCAGGCAGCTTTTCTATTTTTTGCCTCTGTTGAAAACTTGACAGGAAAATCGTCATTCTAACTCACTCAACCTTTTAGAAGATTTGTCAAAATGAAAACTATGAAATATCAGGAGAAATGGAAAATAAGGCTCAAAATTAAAATTTCTATGCAGTAGTAAATAATCTTTCGGATGATATAACAATGATAGATGTGAGAAAGAAGATCAAGATTCAACTGGAAATATTTATGAAAGGAGAAACCTCGCTTTAAATTAACTTCCCTGGCGACTTTCTGGCTTTTCATCGAGTTGTTCAAGATTCTCAGCCGCGATAGTGACAAGTAAAGTAATCAGACAGGACTGAAGATTGGCGAGTTGAAAACAAGTTCATTCCAGCATTCATTATTTATTGTTTCGAAAATCAATGGAGTTTCTCGCATTTCTCTGCATTTCATTTCGGTGAGATGCGGTCGAGTGAAGGCCGAATGCATAAAAATTAAAGCCGCTGAATTTTTTCTTGAATCATCAATCGCAGTTTCGGCTTGTGGACGTTTACTAGATGAATATTTTTCCAAGTTACGGATAACGGATTTGGAATTTGGAAAACTTTATTACAGCTAGGCTATTTTAAGTTGTATCATCAGGAACTTTCGTCGAAACGCGTCAGTGAAGGAGACATGTGCAAAATTTCGAGACTTGAAAGTTTTTTTATCCTGAAGTGAGTGATGAAATGCTTTGCAGAGACGTTCACCTGAAGGCTCACTTAACATTACGCAGATTTGAACCTTACCCGTCCTTGAGAATTTTGGCGAGAGCAATCGTTTATTCCATCAATATACATTTTCTGGAGTGTGCACGGTGCAAACAAATTTTCTATCGGCAGGGCCCTTGAATTTTTAGACATTTTTCTTCCAAGTAATATAAAAAGTCAAAAGAGAGGAAGTTTTGAAAGTGGTTGGTTTGAATACCTGTGATCCCCGCTTTTGATGATGAATTTATTCTATAGAATAGCTTCAAAATTGTGGTTGTTTCTTTTTAATTGAATATTGATTGAGTATTTGGAGATTCCTGATCACGATTTATTATTGAAATACCGAAACATTCATGGCGCAGAGAACGTTGACGCAAATCTGGGTAAAATGCGCAGATTTCCTGCTCTATATATCTTACTCTGGTTCCTGACTGTGGGCATTTTGTTGGTCACCTCTGAAGAACAAGGTAAATCGATCTAGTCATATGTTTTCATTCATTTTCTGTGCATTTGTGCTTTGAAAGATATTTGAATTCAAGTCTCTGAGCAAGATTCTTTCCAGATGAAGTTAGCTTCTCCAAATGCAACCTGCATATTGCTTATCGATTCATGCCCAGTGAGCAAGAAGTTTTCCAGATACATCCAAAATTCCTCTGCAATGGATCCAATTCTGATCCAAAGCCATTCCAAAAGCAGTCAATAGGTTTTTGCCTAAGTTGGACTGCATGCCCAGACAAAATTTTGGATCAGATTTGGATCCATTTTGGATGAATTTCTGAAGAGTTTTGGAGCACTTTTGGAGGGACTTGGGATCATTTTGGAGAGACATTGGATTAAATTTGGAGGAACTTTGGATTCATTTTGGAGGGACTTTGGACTAATTTTGGAGGAAATCTGGATGTGTTTTGAAGCGAATTTGGGTTTGTTTTGGAGGGACTTTGGATCCATTTTCCAAAGTGTGTGGATTCAATTCTGAAGGACTTTATTCTCCCATGACACTCTCTTTCACAGCAACTTGGTGTTCTAACACCAGCCCAGATGCAAAGAAAAAAAGAGTTGATGGGTATTTTTTTCCAAATATTTGTCCTGACCTGGGAGAAAAATAGCAGAATTTTTTTGGCTCTGGTTTTATCCATCAGCCCTGCACCCTGGAATTTTTTCCAGCACAGACAGGGATTTTTGTGGATAATTTCCAGAACTGCCTCCCAATGGTGGAAAAATTTCTTATACCCCCTAATTTGAAAGTGTTCAGCTCTGAGTTCACCAAGTATAACAAAATTATTCAACATAAGGAAAATTTCTGTGCTCTGAGATAATTGTCTCAGAACACAGAAATTTAGTATTTGAAAATAAATTTCCTGGCATTAAATTTTCTGTGTTCTGAGACAAAAGGAAAATTCCTGTGTCCTGAAACAATTGTATCAAAACAGAGAAGTTTTCATGTCAAGAAATTTATTTTCAAAATTTCTTGAGTAAGAAATTTGAAATTCAGGAAAATTTTTTACTCCAAGAAATTTCTTTGTTCTGAGAGAATTGTCTCAGGACACAGAAATTTTCTTTTTGTCTCAGAACACAGAAATTTTAATGCCAGAAAATTTATTTTCAAATACTAAATTTCTGTGTTCTGAGACAATTGTTTCAGAGCACAGAAATTTTCCTTCTGTTGAATAATTTTGTTATAATGGGTGACCTCAGAGCTGAAAACTTTCAAATTAGGGGGTTTATAAGAACTTTTTTTTACCATTGGGAGGCAGTTCTGGAAATTATCCACAAAAATCCCTGTCTGTGCTGGAAAACAATTCCAGGGTGCAGGGCTGATGGATAAAACCAGAGCCAAAAAAATTCTGCTATTTTTCTCCCAGGTCAGGACAAATATTTGGAAAAAAATACCCATCAACTCTTTTTTTCTTTTCATCTAGGGTGGTGTTGTAACACCAGGTTTCTGCAAAAGAGAGTGGCATGGGAGAAATAAGAAAAAGTCCTTCAGAATTGAATCCAGACTCCATGTGAAGTACATTTCTTTACATTTATACTTTTTGACAATATTTGTAGGATTTCATTATATTTATGTTAGATGGAATAGTTTTTCTGAGGGCAGGATTTCTAGATTTAATGCCATTTGAAAGGTGAATCAAACGTCACATGGGGACCCAGCATGTCTTTCAAAATACTACACCATAAACATGATAATGGAAGCATGAAGCTCAAAAATATGCAATATACACACTAATCATCAGCTTACTTTTTGACAATATTTGCAGGTTGTCAGCATGGCTCGGATGCATCCACTGCTTTGTGGTCGGCAGCAAAAAGTGGCGACTTCCAGAAGGTTCAAGGATTGCTCCAGTGTTGTGCAGATCCATCATATTACTCCAAAACAGGAAGTCAAGCTCTTCACGAAGCTGCTTTCAATGGACACATTCCAACCATTGAACTCCTTTTGAAATATGGTGCTGACCCTAATTCAAAAAAGACCGATGGTTGGGCACCCATACATCTTGCAATTCGGAAAGAAATCAATGCAGTGGCTGTGGTCAAGGTGAAAAACATAAATAGGAGTACAGTATGGGACAAAAAAAAGTGGTACACAGAGAAATTTACTGTAAAAAAAAGACAGTTCCAAAAAGAAAAGCAGAGCCTGGTTACTATTTCATGATAATTAAAAATATGATTTAAAACAATGATTAGCTAAGTCTGACGAATCCGGCCTCATTATTTCAAGGGAACGTGCTTCAGTTCATGTTTGTGTTTTACAGTAATATTATAAATCATTGTCAAATTGTGAGATTAAGAATTCTATTGCGTAATTCGGCTTCAATGATGTACAGCACAGTGTAGTTAATACAGCGCTGTTTTTTTTTTAACGAAGGAGCTTTTGCATGTAGGGGCTGAGGTCAACCTGGTGACCAGCGGTCCAAGCTTCACAGTGTACGACATCGCGCGTAACGTACAGATGTCGCCAGCAGTGATGGACTTCCTGAGAGCCAACGGCGGCTTGGCGCTGCATGATATCGCCGCCAAGTCCTCCCGTGATGCGCGTCCTTACTCCGGTTCTCAACTTCATCTGGCTGCGCGTTATGGGGACACCACTGCAGTTCGTGACTTACTCAAATGTCCAGAAATGGCAAAGCAGGTGTCAGCTGTGGACTACGCCGGCGCCATGCCAATCCACGAAGCGGCTTTCCGTGGATTCGCTGACATTGTTGAGGCGCTGCTGGAGTCCGGGGCGGATCCGAATGCGCGGAAAGCTGATGGATGGACGGCGATTCACTTGGCTGTGCGGCCGCAGATTGATCCGGTGCCAGTTCTGCTGGCGCTGATTAAACATGGCGCTGATATTCACTTGAAGACCAGGGAAGGCTTGACTGCTGAGCAAATAGCGAAGCAATATCCGGGTGTCTCTGAGTCCACCAAAACTTTCTTATCCTTGGAAGGTGAAAAATTAACGTTCAAATCAAAAATACAGTTTAACCATGGGTTGTCCAAATGTTAGAAACGTAAAATCAGACTTTCGTTTTTCTAACATTAAATGCGATAAAATATATTCAACATGCACATTCAAACACTTCAAATTATTTGACAAAGTTAGGTATGAAGTAGATTTCAAATTGTTCCAAAATGCTTGAGTAAGTTTCTTTGAGAATTCTCACTGGCCAAGAGGATTCTGAATTGTTCTGGGTTCGTCCAGAGCTCATATATCATGTGAACAATATACTGTATATGCTTCGGGGAAAAGCCTTGGCTACAATTTAAGGTTAAGAAACATTTCCTTTGTCATTCCTGACAATTTTTGTTACGTATATGGTTATGTGTGAGAAGGAATTCTTGGGGCGAAATATTTTTTTTAGGAAGAATGCTGTGAAATGTTACGTGCTGATGAGCAAAAATAAAAAATGAAACAATCACAAAATTGCGATGGTAATTTGTTGAGGAACTATTTAGGCTTTCTGTGAAGGACTATTTTGAAAAAAACTTGACATATTTGACAGCCAAATTGCCTCAAGAAAGTTTTGAACATATTCTAGGATAGCACTTGATAACTCAAACCGTTATAGAAGTAAAAAATCTCTCTAAGTCAAATGTGTTTCACGCCCCTGTCTAAACCTCTTTAGAGGAACAATGCATTAAAAACCTTCGTAGCTTGAGGCTTTCTCACTCAGACCTCCACAATTCAAATTTTCTGGAGGTCCTCTGGCTATTATTTTATTGAGGCAGGAAAGAGAAAAGTAGGAATAGTGTAATTTGATGTGTTTTGACAGGAAATTGAAGACTATAATGAGGCAAAAAGTCCTTGACACCAAGTTCAACATCAGGTTCACTCATTGAAGAGGCAATACAATGCCAAGAATACCACCAATTACAATATACTGTACTTTTGTTTTTTATTTCCTCCAACAAAAATGCTTGTTTATACCTAACTTGAAACCTCCTCAACTACTTTTTTTGCTTGTCTTTTGAAGTTTGGCTTGAAGAGGTTTGTGGGTATACTCGATTATATGAAGGATCGAAGAAAAGTTCTTGGAACAAAAACTGAAATGGCATATAATTGACCTGAAAAAAATTCTTGTTCAGAAAAGATTCTTTGGCAAAAAAAAGTTCATTAACGCAGTCCTTCTTCACAAATTTGCTGGTTATCATTGCTTTGCTGAATATTTTGAAAAATTCATATCTTCAGGAATTGATTTCTCCATAGTGTATCCTCTCTTTTTGCAGGCTTAAAGAAACACGCTGGAACTACGGAAAAACCGCCTGGATCGAACCCTACTCATTCCTCCAGTGAAGAAGATTTTGAAAAAGATTCAACATTTGAAAACAGAAAAATTAACAACACCTGCATGGAATGCATTTGCAAATTAAGATCGGGCTGTGATCTCGAAATGGGTTGCTCGAAAGGCCTTTGCGGACCTTTCCAGATTTCCGAGGGATATTGGAAGAAGGCGGGATCCCTGAAAGGAGGTAATTTTTTTTATTCGAACAAAATGACGAGATTTTCAAATTTTTTTCGATTTCTAGATTTCTTCAAATGTGCGAATAATCTCGCTTGCGCGAAGGAGGCCATCCGAAAATTTGCCGGCAGTACATTTGCTCAAGTGAGTACATCAACAGACTGCATTTAAAATTATATACTATGTAACACCAGAAAATAATTTGTTCATTCAGAAAATTTTCTACAAAAAACTGAAGAATGATAGACTGTTCGGTGATAATTACTCCTGTTCCAGGTAACATTCAGTTAAAATCCGTCGCGTTTCTTATTGAGGAAATACGTCAATAATCTTTTGCTTTTTTTTTTCTCGTAGGATTGCAATGGAGATGGGGTCTTTTCTTGTGCTGATCACGCACTTTCGCTCGAAAATCGAGGAATGCATTGCACAATTGATGAAGCTTCAAAAAGGAAGCTATATGAAGACCTGGCGGTTTGCGAACACGATCCGAACGCTGACCTGCCCCTGGATTTGGGTCCTTTCCTCAGGAAGAAACAGGTTTCCCCCGCTGGCTAATTTCTCTAGGCTTTTAAAAACCTGGAGGAATCTTGTGAAAATTGTAATTGTGTGTAGACTGCACTTATCCAAGATGATTCTATTTCTAAGGAGTGTTTGTAGTGTTTTTTCCGATTTTTTACTTGTCGAATATTGATCCATGGCATGGATATTTTCAAACTTATCATTATTCGCGATATGTTTCGCACAATTTTTGAAATAACCAAGATCTCAGAAGCTTTTGAGTCAAGAGCAAGGAAACTCCAGAAACTAAAGGTGAAGAATATCTTTTAGTTCATTCAATCTCGAAAGAACAAACGAGCAACGATGTTTTAAAATTCAAAACGGAATAATGGCAACATTTTCTTTTTTTGGACCTCAGAAAAATATCTTATACCGGACTCGGCGAACGACGGAATCATGTGGACTATTGTGGGGATTCATTTTGGAACGAACTTGAATCAATAAAAAAAATACGGTTTCAAAAAGAGCTCCATTGATTCGAAATGCTGAAAATCTCTGCTGTTTATTCAGCGCAGTTAAAGTTTTATAATGAAAAGCATATTTCATATTTTCTTCTTCTGTTTTTCCAGGGATATTTTTGAAAAATGCGGACATATTTTGTCACAGTGGTGCTCCTTTCTATTTTTCGCCACCTGTATTCGAAAGGTCAGTGTTGAATACTGAAAAGTCAATGAATGGAAAGTAATCTAATCGAAAAAATAAAACTGATCCGGTGGTGGATGAAGAAATTTCTGGATGCGATGCGAACATCAGGAATCATCCTTCTGCAATTTGGACAGCGGCATCGAATGGCGATTTATCAACAGTTTGTTCCTCTTGTTGTCAATTCCTTTTTTCAAGTGCTTGAACTTCACTCGACTGGAAAAAGTTTTTAATGCGTGTTTCATATCCGAGAGTAATCACGGACGTATATTTATCGTAACTTTCGCTTCGGTTCCCCTTGCTAATAAAAAAAAAAAAAAATAGGTGAAATTAGCGCTGAAATGCTGCGCAGACCCATCTCAGAAGATTTCTGGCTCTCAAGCGATTCACGAGGCAGCTTTCAATGGATTCGCTGCAGTGGTTGAAGAGTTGCTGAAATACGGTTCTGATCCGAATGCCAAAAAAGGCGATGGATGGGCGGCGATGCATTTGGCAATGCGACCTGGAATTGACCCTATTTCAGTCATATTCCATATCTGAAAAGACCTTAATATGATTCGGTACGTGAAGAGCCATGGGCCAGTTGACGGTCAGCCAGTTTAGTACCAGTACGTGGGCGGTCGGCAGTTCACGGCCAGCCAGGTTGGCGGTCGGGCCAGGGCAGTCCTTGGCTTTGCCAATCCCCAGCCCACCAAACCGCGGTTTGGTCACCTGATTGTTGGAGCACCCTAACAATTGGGTGATAAGAATCATGCTGATTCTTTCCAGAATTTGATGAGCAGAATGGTATCCTACATTCCTACCACAGATTTTTTTTCTTCTACAAAATTTCATATTATAAAAATTTTCAAAAAAATAAAAAACTCATCAAACCCAACCTAACCTAACCTAGCACATCCTAACCTAACCTAAACTAACACAAAATAAACTGACCTTACCTAACCTGAACTAACATAACATAAACTGACCTAACGTAACATTGCTGAAATTTTGCAAAAAATAAATAATCTGTGGTAGGAATGTAGGATACCATTCTGCTCATCAAATTCTTGAAAGAATCAGCATGATTCTTGTCACCAGATTGTTCTGGTGCCCCAACAATCAGGTGACCAAACCATGGTTTGGTGGGCTGGGGATTGGCAAAGCCAAGGACTGCCCTGGCTGGTAGTTGAACCAACCGGCACTTGATGGCTGTTGGGTGCATGACCATGATTTGACCAACCAGCGGCTGACCGGACATGGCGCTTCTCATGTCAATTACAGGGGATCCCTGGATAATATTGAAATTGATCCGTATATCAATAAGCTTTTGAAACTTATTCTTAAATGATAAACTTGGTTCCATTGATTGATAACAATTTAATTTGTTTGGCGTAATCCTCAAAAAGCCTTATATCAGTGTATCTTTTCCCCCATTTTCATCCAACAATCAGGAATTTCAAATTTACTTCTATCAAGTTGAAATGATCATGACAGACTAAGAATACGCAGAACTTTCCTTTTTAATTTTTCTTACTTTTTGTAAAATTCATGAAGCTTTGGCTAAACACTTGAGTGGTTTCTAGCTTTAAATTTTTCATTTAGAAGACTAAGCTTGGCAGTAGGAATTTTAGGCACAGTTCAATGAATCCTGGCATGCTGCATATGCGGTCTTGTCTGCTTTCTAATCTCCTTTATTCATAGACCAAGAAGGAATTCATAGACCAAACTAAAGTCAACCCTTCATTTATGAGCTGCCCAAGTTAGTGCCACCCTTGCATCACGCCACAAACTTCTCTGGAATAAATCTCCCTTGATTGTGTTTTTAAGGGAAACCGGATTTAGTGCCAAATCACTTAGTACCATGAAAAATCCTTGTCATGGATGGAGAATGGGCCAAAAGCCAAGCATGTCCTCTTTTTCAGGATATATTTCGGTTTTAAGCCTACATAGCTAAGAATCACATCCCCACATGCTCACACAAAAACGTAGGATAATTTGAAAATCATCTTTTTGAATTGACATTTTGAAATATACTTGTTCATGCATGGTACCTTTCTTCTTTGAAAAAGGACGCTTTCCTTTATATACTGAATATTTCTTTGTGATGGTGTTTGATATGTATTGATATGATATTGGAATAATGTACAAATGAAATCTCAAGAAACAGCTCTGCTTTTTTCCAGTGCATCTTGATTATTTTTCCCTTAGAAACAAGAAATTAATGCTATTTGTCATCATTAGTGCTATCCATTTTGAAACGTGGAAAAAGCAGTAGATCTGAACTTAATTACACCTTGTTATTTTCTCTGCCATAAAACAGACTCAGTGTCCTTGAAATTCTGTGAACAAGCTTATTTTGCCTAAAATAGAAACCCTCCACAAACCCCTCCTTCTTATAAAATACCTTGGATTTAGGGCTAAAAAGTGTGCCAAAACAAAGGGTGCCAGAAGTTTGATTTTTCATGCTGCGCTTATTTAGAAAGATAGTTGATGTTAGGCTTCAAACAAAGCTGATGTTTTGAAGTACTCAGGCAAGTACTCAACTAACAATTTTATTTCACAACAATCCCCAAGATGGGAGGGAACCTTCAGATCTCACAGCTAAAAATGTTCTGATGATTTCAATGAAAATTGAACTTTTTTTCATACAGGGAAGGAACAGAGACAAAAACATCCTGATTGCTAAAACGCAAAACCGCCAGATCAAAAATAAAAGTTCCTAGCAGGCGCCAAAAACCTGTCAGCCACAAGCAAAATTTCTTCTCTTTTTCGGTTTTAAGCCTACATAGCTAAGAATCACATCCCCACATGCTCACACAAAAACGTAGGATAATTTGAAAATCATCTTTTTGAATTGACATTTTGAAATATACTTGTTCATGCATGGTACCTTTTTTCTTTGGAAAAGGACGCTTTCCTTTAAATACTGAATATTTCTTTGTGATGGTGTTTGATAGGTATTGATATGATATTGGAATAATGTACAAATGAAATCTCAAGAAACAGCTCTGCCTTTTTTCCAGTGCATCTTGATTATTTTTCCCTTAAAAACAAGAAATTAATGCTATTTGTCTTAATCCATTTTGAAACGTTGAAAAAGCAGTAGATCTGAACTTAATTACACCTTGTTATTTTCTCTGCCATAAAATAGACTCAGTGTCCTTAAAATTTTGTAAACAAGCTTATTTTGCCTACAATAGAAACCCTCCACAAACCCTTCTTCTTATAAAATACCTTGGATTTAGGGCTAAAAAGTGTGCCAAAACAAAGGGTGCCAGAAGTTTGATTTTTCATGCTGCGATTATTTAGAAAGATAGTTGATGTTAGGCTTCAAACAAAGCTGATGTTTTGAAGTATTCAGGCAAGTACTCTACTAACAATTTTATTTCACAACAATGCCCAAGATGGGAGGGAACCTTCAGATCTCACAGCTAAAAATATTCTGATGATTTCAATGAAAATTGAACCTTTTTCATACAGGGAAGGAACAGAGACAAAAACATCCTGATTGCTAAAACGCAAAACCGCCAGATCAAAAATAAAAGTTCCTAGCAGGCGCCAAAAACCTGTCAGCCACAAGCAAAATTTCTTCTCTGCAGTCCAGCGCATGAGGGTGTACCAACTTCTTGCTGAAAATAAACTCTTTTTTCAAATTGCATAATAGAAAACTGCACAGCAACCTAAAGCTTGAGGTCCAACACAATAATGCTCTAAGTTTCCAGCCTCTTCCAGGACCTTTCCTACGCAATAAATCGCTATAATAAAAAACTGGGTACAGCAGCATCAGCGACCCTCTGTTAACTGATCCTGCTTTGCAAGAATAATTTCATAATTTTGATCACAGGTGCCCATAAATTGTAGTTCAACTGATTTCCTGAAAAATTGCCACACAAACTATTGATTTTTCCAGGTTTTGCTGGACCATGGAGCCGACGTGAATCTGCTGACAGATCGGACCAATCATTCACCTCTAGACGTGGCTAAAAGCTCTAAAATGTCGACTGAAGTCCAGCAGTTTCTAGCATTTCGGGGAGCAAAAACCTCCGCAGAAATTCTCGCCCCATCCTCGTCGCCTCCGGCACACCCCTACGCCGGCACACGTCTGCACTTCGCTGCCCGTTTCGGCGACGCTGCTGCAGTGAAAAGCCTTACTGTCGACTGCTCGGACATTTCCGGTTCTCAAGTGTCGGCTGTCGACCCCGGAGGCGCGATGCCGATTCACGAAGCCGCATTCCGTGGATTTGCCGATGTTGTGGAAACGTTGCTGAAGGCCGGGGCGGATCCGAACGCTAAGAAAAGGGATGGTTGGGCATCCATTCATTTGGCTCTCCTGCGAAATGGAATAGATCCCATTCCTGTCATTCGAGTCTTGCTCAAATATGGCGCCGATGTGTACTTGAAAACGCCTCAGGGATTGAGTGCGTTGCAATTGGTGGAGACAAATTTTCCCCAACGGGAGGATATCAAGATCTTGCTTCGCAGTCCGCCAGCTTCATCAGGTAATAGTACGAATGCTTCGGAAAAAATCAATTGACCTAATTGCCAACAATAAAACGCCTTAATAGTTTCAAGTATGATTACATATACTCAAACCTCAATAATAGCCACAAAAATTTGTTCGTGAGGTTTTCTTCAGCTTAACTGGATTGGTGGTTTAAGAGGCGTCGTTTTTTTTCCCAGAAAATCTTAAATACTAGGATATTTGAGCATAAAAGAAACTAAAATTCGCATTTTTCAAGAAAACGATAAAAAACCGAGTCTACAATTTGTAAATATTTTTTTCGAAGGAGTTGAACGGAAACTTTTACTTCAATTATTATTGTGTATGAATGTTTGCATGGT